CTGAGATCCATAGAAGTTAAATGTGACTTATCTCGTGTAAGTGGTAAATTAGTGACAAGAGAGAGAACTCTATGCCAGATAACTTGACGCCCATTGTTCTGTCTACTGTGTAAAGCAGTAAAAAGTTTTCATGGCAAAGGTCAGAGTTTTCCGGAGTATGTTATGCAAGTCCATTCCTTTAATGCTCTATGGGATAAAGGGGCTCCTTTAGATCATGCTCAGTATTTCCTTTTGGAGGTTCAAAATGCACTTTAGCACTTTAAAGATGCTAAAAAGTCTGGCAGTAGACCTATCAGGTTTTGTTTAATCCTGCATTTTCCAAACTTTGGGCAACCTCTGGAAATGCTGGTCTAGGTTTTTGTTTTGTCTTTTTTTTTTTTAATTGAGGTCATATTGGCTTATAACGTGTGAATTTCAGGTGTGCATTATTATATTTCGGTTTCTTTATAGACTGCATAATGTTTACCACCAGTAGTCTAGTTTTTTGTTTGTTTTGTTTTTTGCTGAGGAAGAGGCACCCTGAGCTGACATCCATTGCCATTCCTCCTCTTTTTATGATTGAGGAAGATTAGCCCTGAGCTAACATCTGTGCCAGTCTTGCTCTAATTTTTTTGTATGTGGGACACCACCACAGCATGGCTAGTGAATGGAATAGGTCTGTGCCGGGGATCCGAACCCAGGCTGCCAAAGTGGAGCACGTGGATCTTTGACCACTCAGCCACAGGGCTGGGCCCAATAGTCTAGTTTTTATCCATCACCATACATATGTGCCCTTTATCCCTTTCACCCTCCCCAACCTCCTTCTCCTCTGGTAACCACTAATCTGTTCTCCTTATCCACGTGTTTGTTTATCTTGCATGTATGAGTGAAATCATACGGTATTTGTCTTTCTCTGTCTGACTTATTGTGCTTAGCATAATACCCTCAGGGTCCATCCATGTTGCTGCAAATGGAACGATTTTGTCTTTTTTTATGGCTGGATAGTATTCCATTGTATATATATACCACGTCTTCTTTATCTGTTCATCCATTAATGGGCACTTGGGTTGCTTCCACATCTTGGCTGTTGTGAATAGCGCTGCCACGAACATAGGGATGCATAAATTTCTTTGAATTGTTGATTTCATATTCTTTGGATAAATACCCAGGAGTGGGATAGTTGGATCATATGGTATTTCTTTTTCTAAGGTTTTGAGAAATCTCCATACTGTTTTCCATAGTGGCTGCACCAGTTTGCATTCCCACCAGCAGTGTATGAGGGTTCCCTTTTCCCCACATCCTCTCCAGCACTTTTGTTGTTTCTTGTCTTGTTAATTATAGCCATTCTGACAGGTTAGAGGTGATATCTCGTAGTTGTGATTTGCATTTCTCTAGGGGCTTTTTGGAGGAGAGAGATTGATTTTTGTTTTTAAAAAAATTGTCATAGGGTTGTTAATTCTCTCTGTTACTTCAACATGATTCCCCCCACCTCAGTTGGGTGTGCTGCGATCACTGAAGCTTATTTTAAGCCAGTTAGATCATCTGATTGAGATTGATTATGTCAACTTTTTGTGAGGAAGATCAGCCCTGAGCTAACATCCAATGCCAATCCTCCTCTTTTTTCTGAGGAAGATTGGCCCTGGGCTAACATGCGTGCCCATCTTCCTCTACTTTATATGGGACGCTGGCACAGCATGGCTTGACAAGCGGTGCATCAGTGTGCGCCTGGGATCCGAACCCGCGAACCCCAGGCTGCCGAAGCAGAGCACGCGCACATAACGGCTACACCACCCGGCCGGCCCCAGGTCATGTCAGCTATTAACAGAGGGAGCTCCCCTAGAATGATGATTCTACAAAAAGAATTTGTCAGCTTTCTAGGGCCATTTGCGTCCTGTGGGTCTCTCCCAGTCCCGTAGGCCCTCTCTTTCCCTTTCTTTTCCTGTCATATCATCCAAAGATTGGATTTTATTCTGTTTTCCTATGGGAGACAGACAAAGCTTGCCTGGAATGGAAACATCCCGAGAGAGATTAGACTATGACTAACTGTCATTTCTAGCATCTAAAGGCAGCAGATTAGATTAAGGAATAAATAACATAATACTGTGCTCCATTTGGCATAGGGTTTTGGTTACCTAAGAAATAAATGAGATTGTTCCCTGAGAATTTTGAGGAATATGGCTTTAGTACTAGACTTGCACAGTCAGGGTTATCCCCAGGATTTGGAGCTGGGGACAGGGGGTGGATTTAAGGGTTACAGCTGATCCAGAAAAATCTCTCCCACCATCCTTTCCAAGGCCTATGTTTATTTTAGTATTAGAGTTCCAGTAGGAGATATGAATGTCACCCAAATAAATTCCTCTTGAAGGGGATTTCCATTGACTGAGAGCTACCAGGAAGAGACTCTGTCCCTAAGTCCCAAGTCACCTCTCTAGGGTGAGACCCCAGCTGTCCCTATGGTGCTAATTATACCGGCAAATGGCCAAGCATCCTTATCTTAGCCTGTGACTTCCCTAGTGCTTGCTAGGTGTTCTTGTGTCTCCGGTGGGGCTAATGACGTCTTGTAACCCTTGTGTGGTTGCTTTAGAATATCTCATTGTGCTCATTATAAAATTGAGCTTGCTTTTTTTTGTTGTTATTGAGGAAGATTAGCCCTGAGCTAACTTCTGTTTCCAGTTCTCCTCTTTTTGCTGAGGAAGATTGGATTGGCTGTGGGCTAACATCTCTGCCCATCTTCCTCTACTTTATATGTGGGATCCCTACCACAGCATGGCTTGGTAAGCGGTATGTAGGTCCACGCCCGGGATCCGAACCTGGGAACTCCAGGTCACCGAAGCAGAGCATGTGAACTTAACCACTGCGCCACCAGACCAGCCCCTTGAGTGTTTTTTTTTAAAGGCATTTTTGACATAGTTTAAATCTCAAACAGACCCATATAATAGTGTTTTGTGTCCCTACCAACCTTGCAAAATTCTCAGATGAGAATAATTCTTGTGTGTGTATGTGCATGTAATGGGATGAAGTGAGAGTAGGAACTCTTTCCACTTCTGTGGACACTCTGATTTTTCTTCATCTGGAAACAAGGCTCCATTCTTTCTTGTTTTATTTCAGCAGCATACTTCGTGCTGTGTTAGTGAGTTTGCTCTGCAGTAATTAGAAATTAAAAAGCAAAAAACAAAAAAAGGAACAATGTGGAGCTTCAAGAATGAGTAAAGAAGGAAATGAGAAGAAGACTACCGTGGGAGTGACACTTAAAAACACTTTACCAGCACTTTTCACTGTCCACCATTATTCCCAGATTCAAAGCCCATCTTTTTATTCTCGTTTTAGTGTAGGGGCTTTTATTTTGCATAATGTTTTTAGTCTGGATTTTTCTTAATATATTTCAAATTTGAGAAAGGATTGTCTGTGCCATTTTTATGTTTTAAATACATATCTTTAGTGAGTGAGAATAGGATTTGACCTGTAAATGATGCCACAAACTTGGCTTCCAGGACCCTAATTTCTTTTAAAGAACCACTAAAAATGCCTGATGGAACCTTGAAGCTTTTAAGGAGCTCAGTTTGAAAACTAAGATTTATTAGACTTACTGTTTTTTGAGTTTGAACTGAAATTAACGCAGGCAGATTTAGTCTCTGTTTTATAAAATTGACAGTATTCAAAATGAATCACCAAAAACAGCCTTTTCTACATTTCTAATATTTAAGAATAGAAAACTGTGAATTTACTTACACTAAGCTCAAAGTTTAAGAAAACTGACTTGACTGGAAGAAGTAATTTTCTTGACCATTTAACGTTTACAGAATAGTCAGTATATTAAATTCTTTCGATTCCTTGCTGGATAGTTCTTAGAGAACACACTGTCACATCTCTGGCTGCCCATAACCTTTCTGACTTCTGGAGCATGCACCAAAGTAAAAAGTCTGATTTGGTATATTTTCCTAGGTAGGGAGGTAAATTTCAAATAGGAAATTTGCTTGTGTAAGTATATGATTTGATTGAAGTTACTGCTACGTTGCATAATATCTAATTAGTAGAAAGTTTCCCAGTCTTGAACACTGTAGGTAGATAATTCTTTGCTTAGATAAATAAATTTTTCATGTAGATAGTGGAAAAAAGATGGAAGGAAACCACAAATGTTAACAGTGATTTTCTTTTTTTTTTTTTTTTTTTTTTAAAGGTTTTATTTATTTTTTGCCCCCAAAGCCCCAGTAGATAGTTGTATGTCACAGCTGCACACCCTTCCAGTTGCTGCATGTGGGACTCGGCCCCAGGATGGACAGAGAAGTGGTGCCTCGATGTGCACCCGGGATCCGAACCCGGGCCGCCAGCATCGCAGCGCGCGCACTTAACCACCAAGACACAGGGCCGGCCCAACAGTGATTTTCTTAAACTTGAATTCCTAAGGTTATGCTGTGTCAGTAACAGAGATGAAAATAAATTCTAAGAATCTTGACACTGTTCTGTTTTCCAGCAGGTTTTTTGTGATTGTGTGTGATTAACTCTATTTGTTAAAACACTTCATCCTTCCTTATGAGGCTAGATTAACTGCCTCTTGGTTGGTTTCTTAACAATTCCACTAATAGATTTTAAGTTATGTTTTATCCTAAGCCATTATCTCTTTTAATCAGATAAATTTTATATATCTAGATGCTATAAAGATTTAGAAGTATTCCTATTAACCCTGTTCTCTCTTAAAGTTTCTACTGCTTGCTACTGGCGTATATCTCCTGCTGGCAGCTGTTGAGAGATAAGGGTCCGTGGTTTGGAATTTATTCTATAATTTTTAAAAGTATTTCTTACTGGGGCTGCCCTGTCTATGTTAAGTCTAGTATCAGGTAATAGCATAATTCAAGTTTATCTTCTTGTTTACATTTTCCGAAATTTTTACATGTGAATTTCACAGCATGTCATTATTTACAAATAAAAGCAGTTTTCATTCACTAGCTTGCTTTTTTCTTTTTACTGTGCAATTTGAGATACATTTGAAAAAATGAATAAAATTATTTTTGTTTCATATCAAGAAATGGATGAAAAGAGGCTTCTGGATCCGGGGTTGAAAGTTCATAAAGGCCTCTGGGATTATACTCTGAAGAACCAGCAGATGGAATGCCTGAGTGACTGAAGAAAATGGGTGCTAATGCATCTAACTATCCTCATTCATGTTCCCCAAGGGTAGGGGGAAATTCTCAAGCCCAACAGACTTTTATAGGTAACTGTTTCATTTTTTGTAACATTTTCTTTTATGACTCTAAATAGAATTGTGTTTTCAGTGGTCTTTTTTTGATCAAAAAAGAATCGAGCTATGAAAAAGTTGTTATAGATAATAATTCTATAGATAAAAATTCAGATTTTTTTTCCAAGAAATGTAAATCTGGTTTATATGATTTTTATCCTAAGCCATTATAGCACAATTGATCTTTTTTTTTAAAATTTTTTCCCCTCTTTTTCTCCCCAAAGCCCCAGTAGATAGTTGTACGTCGTAGTTGCACATCCTTCTAGTAGCTGTATGTGGGACGCCGCCTCAGCATGGCCCGACAAGCGGTGCGTCAGCACGCGCCCGGAATCCGAACCCGGGCCGCCAGCAGCGGAGCGCACGCACTTAACCGCTAAGCCACAGGGCCGGCTCCCACAATCGGTCTTTTGTTTGGTTGTCTTAACCATAATTGCCAGTTACTCTAGGAAAACTAGCAATCTCCATTAGTGTGAAAGTAGTGAAATAATGTGTTTCTTGTGTCCTGGTCCATTTATTTTCCCCATACAAATGCAGCCTTGGTGTAGTTAAGAAGAAAAAAAATAAAAACTTCACAATTATATACAAATAATATTCTTAATTTACAAGTCTACCTCTTTTTTTTTTTTTTTGCTGAAGAAGATTCACCCTGAGCTAACATTCATTGCCAATCTGCTCTTTTTTTTTTTTTTTTTACTTGAGGAAGATTAGCCCTGAGCTAACATCCGTGCCAGTCTTCCTCTATTTTGTATGTGGGTCACCACCACAGCATGGCTGATGAGTGGTGTAGGTCTGTGCCTGGGATCTGAACCCGTGAACCTGGGCTGCCAAAGCGGAGCACACCGAACTTAACTACTGCACGACGGGACCGGCCCCCAAATCTGCCTCTTATCTCCTAAAAATCCATTATTAAGATCTATGATATCTGGTCCTTGATAGCCAGAGAACCAAAAGCATTTTTTAAGTTAGGAATAATCTGCTTGCTTTGTCCATATTCCTTATTTAATATAAAAATGAGTTATTTGAACTTTTTGTCTTCCTTTATAAAAACAAAAGTCAGTTTTATTTGAATGGTTCAGGAATGTCTAAAAAATTTTAGCATGAAGTATGTGTTAAAGTGAATGTTGAAAATGAACATGTGTTTAATTTCCTTCTTAGGGACATCATCTTATTCTCAACAAGGCTATGGTTGTGAATCAAAATTATATAGCCTTGACCATGGCCATGAGAAACCACAAGACAAAAAAAAGAGAACTTCTGGCCTTGCCACCCTCAAAAAGAAGTTTATTAAGCGTCGAAAATCTAATAGGTCTGCTGATCACGCCAAGCAGATGCGAGAACTCCTCTCTGGGTGGGATGTTAGAGATGTCAATGCATTAGTGGAAGAATATGAGGGAACTTCAGCCTTAAAGGAGCTTTCTCTACAAGCCAGTTTGGCTAGACCAGAAGCCCGGACATTGCAGAAAGATATGGCCGATCTTTATGAATACAAGTATTGTACTGATGTAGACTTAATATTTCAAGAAACTTGTTTTCCTGTTCATCGTGCCATTTTGGCGGCAAGGTGTCCATTTTTTAAAACACTGCTTTCTTCCTCACCGGAGTATGGGGCAGAGATCATAATGGACATCAATACAGCTGGTATAGACATGCCCATGTTTTCTGCTTTGTTACACTACCTTTATACGGGAGAGTTTGGAATGGAGGACTCAAGGTTTCAAAATGTCGATATCCTCGTTCAGCTTAGTGAAGAATTTGGAACACCAAATTCCCTTGATGTAGATATGCGTGGACTTTTTGATTACATGTGTTATTATGATGTCGTCCTTAGTTTTTCTTCAGACTCTGAACTGGTTGAAGCTTTTGGTGGAAATCAGAACTGTTTAGATGAAGAGCTCAAAGCTCACAAGGCTATTATTTCAGCACGGTCCCCGTTTTTTCGAAATTTATTACAAAGGAGGATACGGACTGGTGAAGAAATCACAGACCGAACTTTGAGGACTCCCACAAGAATTATATTAGATGAGTCCATTATACCAAAAAAATATGCGAAAGTTATATTACACTGTATGTATACCGACATGGTGGACCTCTCCGTTTTGCACTGTAGCCCCTCTGTGGGGAGTCTCAGTGAAGTTCAGGCTCTCGTCGCAGGGAAGCCAAACATGACCAGGGCGGAGGAAGCCATGGAACTTTACCACATAGCACTGTTCTTGGAATTTAACATGCTTGCACAAGGTATGAAATTCTGATTTTCTAATTTTGATTTCTAGAATTACATGTTTGTCTTCCAAATTTAAAACACAACCAATACAATCCATGATTCAGTGTTTGAGATGTGACAGGGTTAGTTTTTTCGAATCTATACCTAGGACATCTGAGACAGAATTGAGGGTTAGTATTAACGTGGCTCTTCATTTAGTATTAAAACCAAGCATTCAAAACTGGTGACTAAGAGCAGTAGATGAAACTTGAGACCCCTTCCCGAATGTAAGACAATAGATGTGGAAATATATAATTACCCAGCTACCACCCACCCAGCTACCACCCACCTACACCCTGTTTTTGAACTGGCCTCATTTCCCAGATTTCAAGGTTATTCTTGATCTAGGACTCCTTGGATAACTTAGATTCTCATATTTATACTCAGTGCTTTATTGATGCTTAAATGTTTAGAATAAGAATGAAAGTTCATTACAAAACTGAATAGTCACATTTGGATACAGATTTATTTGAATCAAAGAATTGGGCAGTTTCTGACATAAATTTTAAAATACTCTGTATCTTCTTTTCAAGCTCAACGTGTAGATCAAGCAACAGCCTACAGCATGTAAGGCACAGTTAGTGGTAGCCTCATGTGCCTTCTTCATTTAGTTTAAACTAACATTTTTAAGTTAGGATGGCACATTTTTTGTTATAGGCAAATGAATAAATGAAAGTTACATTAAAAGAATTATATATATCTGTTGGTAAACAGAGTCTTAGCATTTTGGAGCTGGAAAGAGACCTTCTGTGGGAGAGCAGAGGGAATTTGCTGTCTTGGCAGAATGCATTCTTAGCTTTCTGTGGCCATATATTAAAAGATGACAAGCTATATGACATGAAATTACTTGAGAAATTTAGCTAATGAGTATTTGCTAAAAGAACATTAGAAGTTGCCAATTAGAAAGAATGTTAATGGTTTGGGTAAAAGATATGAATTTAAATAAGGAAATCTAAGCACATTTTTCTAACTTGAAAATAATGTGAATTGTATGGCTACATCAACAAATTAATAGGACTTTGAAACAAAAATAAAATAAAAGCCCCAGTTAAATAATAATGTCAGTAATAAAATGAAAAGAATTATACAGGAGAAGGCACTGATAAACGAGAGTGACAAAAGTTGAGATTTCTGTTACATAAAGAATCTTTTAAGGGGCCGGCCCAGTGGCATAGCGGTTAAGTGCATGCACTCCACTGCAGTGGCCTGGGGTTCAGATTCCGGGTGCGTACCGACGCACTTGTCAAGCCATGCTGTGGTGGCGTCTCATATAAAGTGGAGGAAGATGGGCATGGATGTTAGCCCAGGGCCAGTCTTCCTCAGCAAAAAAAGAGGAGGATTGGCATGGATGTTACCTCAGGGCTGATCTTCTTCCCCCCCCAAAAAAAAAAAATGAGAAAACATTCCTTAATATAGTTTTTTGTTGCTTGTTGTTTTAAGTTTTGAGTGAAAAGTAGAGTTGTGTGCCAGTTCTTGGATCTTAGGTAATACTTGATCTAGAGTTCTTTTATGTTAAGTGAGTTAAATTTTTTTTAATCATTTAGCTAGAAATTGTATTTTTTTTTTTAGTACATTTAAAGATATAAAACAACACTCCTTATATTACCTTAATCTTGGTTACTTAAAACAAAAATACAAATATTCCCTTAAGTTTGGATGTACATGACTCTCTGTTTCCTTTCATTATTAAAAATACAGAATTTGGGTTATTTGGTTTTCTATTTTTTGCACTCCATGTAGGCCTTATCTTTCCCCCATAATCATGATACTATTCATATTAGGGTTTATAACAGACCATAACTTCAACATAATTTTTACCTCATTTCCATGGGAAGGAGAATATTTGATCATTTGGAGAGGGATTTTATACCATAAAGCTTAAGAGCTCAGGCTCTGGAACCAGAAAAACTGGATTTGAACTCTTCACTACCGTGTTTTAATATGTTTAACCTTAAAGCAAATTGTGTCTCTAAGCCTCTGTTTTCTCATTTGTAAAATAAGAATAGTAATGCTGCAAGGTAGGATTATGAGGATTAAAAGAAAGAATATATGTTCAGTGATCTGAGTAGCACCCAGGACACAGGAAGCGATCAATAGGTGTTAGCTGCTAAATGATAATCATCACAGCATACTTCGTTCACTACCACCTTCTTTTCTAAAACTAACTTTTTTAAAAAACTAACTTATTTAAAAAAATAATTTTATAATCATATTGATTAAACCCAATATTAAGCATATTTTACAGATTTTTACTAGGTAATTATTGATTTTAAGATTTTCTTATAATTTTATCACTGCTGAGTTGGTGCATACCACTTATCAAACTATTCTAAGTATCTGGCTGTTTGTCACTCTACAATCTGTTTTTCTCAGCAGGAGTTCTGCAAGCAGATTAAGGCTATAATACTCTGAGGCATCTATTGTGTGTAATGAATTAGCATCTCTCCCATGCATCAGCATGGTACTAATTATGTACCATTTTGGAGGGAATTAAGAAAAAAGGTACCAAAATCATTTTCTGTGTTTGTAATTCAGACAAGGACTCCCAATTAAGAAAAGCTGTGAGACTGGCCTGTTGGGCAACTTGAGGGGTAGCACCATATTGCTCTCCTCTTTGTGTCCCCAATGCCTGGGATATAGTAGGCACTGAGTAAATGTTTTTTAATTAATTACCTTTTATTCCAAATTAGATTTAACTTTAAAAGCATTATAAAGCCCAGTTTTAAAGGGAGATAAATTATATCAAGGGAGACTGGGATCTTGAGACTAGATATTAGCCCTTTAAGATGGAGAGGTGATTTAATAGTTTGAAGAATATCATAAAAAAAGAAGCAATATAGGCAGACAGCCAGAGTGGTTTGGCAGGTGGATAAAAGGGAGGATTCCTGGCCCTCACTGAGAATGTGTTTTATTCAGACAAGTAGGCAGTCACTATTAGCAAGGTGAATTAACAGGTAATGGGCCCTCAACTTACTGGCCTGGCATTTTAAGACTAGATTTAACTTCACTTGATTTCCTATGTAGCAGATTGAACATAAGTTTATTTCTGTTTCCTCCAAAGCCTTAATGTTATAGTTAAGGAATAAAACAAGTATAAACCCTCAAGCACAAAGATACCTGAGAAGAAAACAGCAGTGGAAAAAAGGATATTGAAATTTTTTTAAACTGGAAAGCAGATGAAGAACTGATTACTGGCTTAGCAGAGAGGAGAGGTCTATAATCTAGAGCCTGTAGAGGGTGCTACTGAGATGAAGGGAGGCAATTCACAGAGGATACTAAGTACTATGGAAAGATGGGATAAGCGTGGTACGAACTAAAAAAAGAGAGATTTGACTTTAAGTTTGAATACTGAATGGATGGACCCTTTCCCTGCCCTGGAATTCACCTTTGTGTGTGGTGTTAGAAAGGGATGGGGTTTTGTTTTTCTCTGCAGAATGAGCTGGTTTTCTGAGTACCCTCTATTAAACGATCCATTTCCCCCCTGATTTGTGCCACCTTTTATTAAGTTCCCGTGTATATATGGGTCAGTACTTTTTCATTTTGTTTCAGTGGTCTGTTTGTCTGTTCTTACATCAATATCATCACAGCCAGTTGGCAGATCCCGATCTGCTCCTTCAGTTCCATTCTCCATAACTCCCCCAACCAAACACAAGAGATCTGAGATTTATTTTCTAAAGAAATCGAACTAAAGGGATTACAAATCTGCAAGTAGCTACAAGAGGGGGTGGGAGGGTGGGGTTGGGGGTAAGGCACAAGATTGAAATCTGGAATTATGTGAAAGCCTACAAACTAAATGGTGAAATCACTCTCTTCCCTTCCCTTGCTCTAGTCCAAGCCAGACAGATACAAGAGAGTAAATTGGAGCTCTAGAAATGGTGAACAGCCCAAGAGCCTATAGACCTATAGATACTGGTGTTTTGGAGTTCCGTGATGAAGTTATGCTGAGGAGTTACACAATGAAAAAGCCAGATTGCCTTCCAGTTGTTCTGTCGAGAAGGCTGCTTGTGCAACAGAGCTTCCAAACAGCTGTTTACTGCCTCACTCTTAAGTATGAAAACCCATCTAAGGCACACTGGACATTTGAAGAAGCTTCCAAATTGAGACAGAGATCAGAACAAAAAGAACAAAGTACTCAAAGAAACAGGCAGTGAAGGAAGCAGAAGAACACTCAGGAGAATCAAAATATCCTTATATAAAAGAACATTTTATTGAATCAATGAAACAAAAATAGGATGCTATAAAAGTAAAAATAGGAGTTCTTGGAAATAAGGTAGCAGAAATGAAAAATGTAATAGAAGGATTGAAAGGTAAAATTGAAGAAGGCTAGAAAGTAAAACAAATAACAAAGAGATGGACAACAGTAGAGACAAATAAGAAAAACTATACTATTCATCCAGAAAGTGTAATATCTTAACAAATAGTGGTTTTAGAAACATATACCAGAGAAAATGGAAGAGAAGACAGTATCTAAGGAGTAATATAAGAAATATTGCCAAAACTAAAAGGATTTCTGTATTAGAAAGTTTCATCCCTTTCGCTAGGGAACACTAGGAAAAAAGAGAAGATTCTAAAATGTTGCAGAGAGGAAAAAATTAGGTTCCATACAAAGAAATAGGAATCAGGCTGGTATTGAGCTCTTCAATAGCAACAACTGAATACTACAATACAGTGACATAGTGCTTTCAAAAAGCTGATGGAAAATTATTTTAACCACAAAATTCTATACTTAGCCAAACTGTCAATCAAGTATAAGGCTAAATAAAAGAATTTTTCAGTCTTACTTCAAAAAACTTACCTCCCCTGCACCCCGACTCAGGAAGTTACTGAGGATGTGTTCCACTAAATGGTGAAGTAAACCAAGAACAAACCAGTGTGGGGTACAGAAAATGAGGTCCAACACAGGAAAGAAAGGGAAATCCTAGGTACTAGCTGTGTAGTCGATCTAGTGGGCATCCGGTCTAGACTGGATAGCAGG